TGTGAGCGCGTGTGTGCACGTGTGCATGTGGACAAGTCTGCACCTGTGTGCATGTGAGCGCACGTGTGCATGTAGTGAGTGTGCATGTGAGCACATGTGTGCGTACAGTGAGAGCACGCGTGTGCATGTGAGCGCGCGTGTGCACGTGTGCATGTGGACGAGTCTGCACCTGTGTGCATGTGAGCGTACGTGTGCATGTAGAGTGTGTGTGCGTGTGAGCACGTGTGTGCACGTGTGCATGTGGACAAGTCTGCACCTGTGTGCATGTGAGCGCACATGTGCGTGCAATGAGAGCATGCGTGTTCATGTGAGCACGTATGTGCGTGCGGTGAGAGCATGTGTGTGTGAATGAGTGCACGTGTGTGTGTGAGCAGTGTGTGCCCATGAGCACGTGTGTGCAGACCAGGAGCAAGGGCCACACACACAGGTGCCCTCCACATCCAGGTTCCTGGGGGCACCATCGCCCACAGGAAACACAGGCCATCCTGGACTTACAAATGCAGGGGTCAGCTCAGGGGTCAGCAGCAGCATCGTGGTCCCTGTTGAAGGAGGACAGGGTGGCCCAGGTGACATGGATCACCAAGTTTGAAGACGCAGGGATAGCACAGGGCAGATGTTACATTCTAGAAGGTCGAGCTCTCCACGGGGCGGCATGGGTGTCCCTGGGGGTGGCAGCAATGAGGGCAGGGCGTGGGCGTTCATAGCAGGTGGGGTCAGGGGGCTAGACGTCCCGCCGTGACGGTCCCCCCAGACCCCGTCCCTCGAGGTTCTGAGCTTCCAGCAGACCTGGCCCAGCACCAGCGCGGGCCCTGAGGGTCTCCCCAGGATGCCCGCACAGAAGGAGAGCGGGGCGCGCTGGCTTGGGGTGCCGCAGCTCCCCAGGGACACATTTAGTGGGGAAGACGTCAGTTGTGCAAGTCACAAGACCCACTGCAAATATTGGTCAGGCTCAGAAGCAAACGTTGTGAAATCTGGAGACTTTGCACTTTGTTAACAAAGGCCATTTAAAATATGCCCCATGCTGCCATGCTGTGGGCCACAAGGCGTAGCTGTGGAGACGATGAGAACTCTGTGCTGCACAAGCCAGTCTGAGGTCACTGGTGTTGGGCGCCTCCCTGGGACCCCGACTCCCGGGGCCGCAGGATTCTGCGGGGTGGCTTCTGACCCAGGAAGGGCCGTGTCCTGGCTGCGGGTGGGGCTGAGTGAGCCTATATGGGGGGCATGGCACGCAGCGCTCCCAGGCCTGACTCACCCCTGCCCCCGCTCAGCTGTTCCGTCCTCGGCTGCCCCCGCCCCGGGTCAGCCTGGTCCCCGGTCACCTACCGCAGCCACAGCTGGGGCTGCCCCCCCACCCCGTTTCCTCGTGCTCCTTGCTCCCATGGCTTCTGACCACCTGCTTGCGTCAAGCCTTGACTGTTGGCATAAGAGCATCTGGCTTCCTCGCGGTTCCTTCTTGCAGGGTCACATCCGGGCAAGTTTTTCCATCGGAGACAACGGCGGCCCTGTCTGTCCCCCGGGAAAGCAGGAAATCGCAGCAGTGCCATGGCCTCGAGCCTCGGCCCTCCTCCCGGTGCGTGACGTCACTTCAGGTGAGTAAAAGGGGGTGGGAGTGCGTGTGGGATCGGGTGTCAGTGGGGGCGGGTGTGACCGCAGCGCCCCCGCTCTCCCTCGGTCCGAAGAGGCGGGTCTGGGCGCCGGGCTGGGGGCCCGGGTCCCTGACGACACGTGCCCGGCCTGCTCCGTGCTGTCCCCGGCATCCAGCCTGCCCGTGGCTGGCGGGCAACCTCCCGGCTTCGGTGGACCGGGCGAGGATGTCCACTGTAACGTGGCCCACACGGCCGCGTGCCAAGGACACTCACCACCTGTCACGGGTTCGCCGTCGACAAAGTGATGGTTCCGTGCAAGGTGCCACCGCAGGGCTGCAGCCTCCGGGAGGGCAGGGCCACATCCGCTCCGCACAGCGCGGGGGGTGTTTGTGGGCCGTCCGTGGGCCGAAGCCGCCACCAGCGGCCGGAGAGCCCGAGGCCACGAGGAAGGGTGCACACAGAGATGCAAGCCCATGGCGATCGGGAGAGTGAGGCTCTTCAACAGAGGGGGTCCATCAAGGGAAATGCGGCCCGAGAGCTTTTGAAATAGTTAAAAACAGTAAGAAGGCCCCAGACCACTGAGTAAGAGCACTTGAGCCAAGTGCCGCAGTACCTGGATGGAAGGCGTGATTTCCCAGGAGACACTCCCTCTCACGTTTGACTCAAGGAGAGTAATCCTGCAAGGAGCAGTGTTTCCAGCCAGAGACAAACAACAAAGGCTCTGCGAGCCTGGGGCGCCCCATCGGGAGGGGCCGGAGGGGACACTTCCTCCCGGCATCCTGAGCCCTGAACTCACTTCTGCCAAATCTTACAAATCCCATGACGGGAGGGACTCTTCCCCGGGAACCTCAATTCAGAAAGTCTGCAAAGCCCTGCGCTAAACTGATCTGTCTTCTGTCCTCCAGGCTTCTTCCCTCCGCCTGCTGGAGTCTGATCCAACACCCACACAGAAATTCCTGAAGCCTCCAGTGTGCGGGGAGTCGAGGAGCCAGACCGCTCTTGGCTCAGGTGGATGTGGCCCAAGTGAAGTCAGCTCAAGTCAAGCAGCTGCCCAGGGCAGGCAGGCCGCAGCTCAGTGCCAACGGGGGAGCCGACACCTCACTCCGTTCCTGTCTTCCCTACCCTCAGAGGCTTGGCCACCATGTTACCCACCATGGGCATCTTCCACGGAAACACTTAAATATCTCAATGGTTTAAGCAAAAAAGTAACACGATAAAAAGGCAAAAGGCAAATTGGGAGATAAAATTTACAGTGGACAAAACAAAGGTCCAGTTTCTTTCATATATAAAGAGCTTATATAAATCAGTAAGAAATGGATGAACCCAACAAAACAAAAATGCAAAGACCATAAGCAGGCCAGTCACCAAAGAAGAAGTTCAGTCAAAAATCATGTGGGGCGCCTGGGTGGCTCAGTTGGTTAAGCCACTGCCTTCGGCTCCCCCGAAGGTCATGATCCTGGAGTCCCAGGATCGAGTCCCGCATCGGGCTCCCCGCTCAGCAGGGAGTCTGCTTCTCCCTCTGACCCTCTCCCTTCTCATGCTCTCTCTCTCTCTCAAATAAATAAATAAAATCTTTAATAAAAAAAAAATCATGTGAAAAAATTAAAGTCTGTCTACACTAACAGCCAAGACATGCATGTTAAAACACCCAGACGCCGTCTGCTTGTTCCGACGGGCGACTGCGTTCTGCTCACATGACACACAGCCTGACGAGGCCCAGGGAGGAAGCGCTGGGCACCCTCGTCCACGACGGTGGTGACCTCCAGCACACGGGACACAGGCGACCCCGTCCCCACCAGCTCACAGGCAGCCCTTCTGCTGAAGTGTTACAGACGCGGGGAGCGGGCGCCCGGGCGGCTCGGGCGGTGACGCGTCTGCCTCCAGCTCGGGTCAGGATCCCGGGGTCCTGGGATGGAGCCCCGGGTCGGGCTCCCTGCTCAGAGGGGAGTCTGCTTCTGCCTCTGACCCTCCCCCACTTGTACTCTTTCTCTCAAATAAATACATCTTAAAAAGAAAGAAAGAAAGAAAAGACGCAGGGAACGTCTGGGGTGCTTTTCCATCTGCAGCTGCGGGGCATGCCCCTCAGCAAGCCGCCCGTGGACACAGCCCCTCCCTCGGCGGGCTTCCTTCCAGTTAATCATGTTTGAGGATCAAGCCAAAACACAAAGAGGCCCAGTTTGGTATCAAAGTCCTGCTGGTTCCCAGACCCCAAAGGTTAAAGTTCCTGCCAGAGGTGAAAGGTCAGCTTTCAGCCCCCAAGTCACCAGGACTTAGAACAACGTCCATCAGGCGGCCTTTGTCTGGGCAATAATTAACTTTCTGTCCTGGGGACACTGCCCCCTCGGGTGCACATAGGGACCCTGTCTGACCAGGCGTGGGGGCGTTCTAGCTGTGGGCCGCTCCAGGGGCAGGGCTGGGGCTCATGAATCAGCGTCCGCGGAGGGTGGGAGGCCCAGGGCCCGGGAGAAAGATCCCCCTGCCCCTCAGGCTCTGGGGAGGCCAAGGCCAGGTGCAGGGGGAGGGGGCTTCCCTGAGGACAGGTGGGGACAGTGCGTGCCAGGGTCCCCGGGGCACTTTGCCCCTGCCACTCCGAGCCACGGCTGGACGGTTCGGTGACGAGGATAACCAGCAGGCCTGATGTGGGCGGGTGCTGTGAACCCCGGCCCGGCCCAGTGGGTATGCGGCCGCCACGGGGTGCAGCCCGCCCCAGGACAGCCCATGCTCAGTGCTACGCTCTGCTGTTACTGTCTTGAAATCCCCGTTTTCATTGTGCACGAGTCACGTGGGCCTGGACACGGACCCTGCCCACCCCGGTGGGGCCCCGGGGTCACTGCCGGCATCACACAAAGGGGGGTGGGGGGCTCTTGTCATGGCAGGGATGGGTGTCCAGGCAGGAAGGTGGTCCCAAGGGGCCTCCTGGGCTGGGGGCATCAAAGGGGCAGTAGGTGACATGCGGGAGCCCGACGGAGCCGGGACCCCCAGGGCCGGGCTCCAGGGGGACTGACGGCTCTGCCCGGGGGCGGCCCTCCCCCGGGAGACGGCGGCACGAGGCAGGGCAGGAGGCAGCTATCGTCCTTGTCCCCCATGGCCAGACGGACCCCCCCCCCTCCCAGGGCCGGTCCCCCCAGAGCACAGTGGCCTCCAGGTTACCTGGAACTTGTCAGGATCTGCTCCTCCGGCCTGGGCCACGAAGAGGCCGGCGCCGGGCTCCAGCTCCAGGCCCCGCAGGGAGCGCACCAAGGGCACCCTCTGGAACAACTCGCAGTCCACAAACAGCGCCACGGTCGCGCCGTCCACGCTGAGGGCGAAGCGCGTCCACTGGCCGGTGAAGGCAGGCAGACGGAAGCTGGCGGCCGTGTGGGTCCGCGTGGCACCAGGCTCGGTGTACAGGAGCTGGATGTGCTGGTGCCCATCACGCACGCCCGACAGCCTCACGCCCACGGACACCACCGCCTGGGCCGCGTCCGTGATGGCAAACAGCACCCCCGCGTCCTCGGTGGCAGGCTGGACGTGGAAGTGCAGCGAGAAGTCACGGAAGAACGGGCTGGGGAAGTGGTACCGGGCCACCTGGCCGCTGTTGGCATCCGGGCCAAAGACGAAGGCTGGCCCGATGTCGGGGTCATCCACCTGCGTGACCTGCGGGGGCGGGGGCTCTCCAAGCAGCTGCAGGAGCCCCACCTCCGTGCCCAGGCTTTCTGCAAAGAGGATGAAGACCCCCAGTGAGGGCGTGCCTGGGGGAACCAAGCAGGCAGGGTGCCGGGGGGACACTGAGTCACGAGGGGCTCCCCACCTGCCTGGCACCTGCCTTGCTTCTCCAAATACCACTCTGGGTCAGGACACGTGGCCACAAGCTGCTGCCCCCCGCAATGGGCTCACGGGCCCCCAGAGGACGCGACGGGAACCGTCCCATCAGGGGGACAGAGGGGGCAAGGATGTGGCTGAGCACGGCAGCGGCCGCCGGTGCCGGGGCCTGCACCCCCTCCTCACCGCATGACCCACTTCCCCGCCCTCAGACAGCGGGAGCCGGGCTCCAGCCCCAGGGAAGGCCCCCTGCCCGGGGTGTTAGCCCTAACACCATCACTCTGTTACAGAAGAGAGAAGCCGTCCACCCCGCAGTTCCCTGCACTGTACCAACATTACCAACCCGCCTGGAAACTAAGTAACCCCCCAGGGGCAGAAAATCAGAATGGGGGCTGTTTCTTGGAGGATCCGTCCCTGTGGTTCCGGGCCTGTGCTCACACTCGTAATACAGCAAATCCCACCCGGGTGCCCCAGCTTTGTCAGGGGCTCCCTTGGTGTCCCCTCCCGCCGTGTCCACCCTGACCTGCAGAGGGGTCACGTGGCGGACAAGCCACTAGGGAGACCTGTGGTTCCTTCACCAACAGATGCTCACACTGGGTGGCCCCACCTTCCTCTCAAATACCCCTCAGAGTCCCAGGCCCCATCGGTTCACTCTCAGGAGCCCATGGTCTGCCCTCCTCCCCCGTGTCCTCCCACCACATGGAGGTGGCTTGAGTCTAGACTGGGGACCCAGCCATGGGGCTCAGTGTTCTCCCTCATCTCTTGTCCTTCCAATGGGACCAGAGGCTGCTGTGGGGGGCACACAGGCCCTGCTCTCCATGATGCTGGTCCTGGGACCCAGCAGGGCCTGACTTGACCTGGACCTGCCTGAGCCTCTGGAGCAGCGTGGAGGAGGCATGCTTCCTGGGCATGCACGGGCCACCAGCAGCCTGACGATCTTGGGCCAAGAGGGTCAGGTGCTGGGGACAGAGGGCAGGGCCTACCTCTCAGTCCGGGGAGTGCAGTCACTGCTGGACACAGGGTGGCGCAAACACAGATTCAAGGACAGACCCATACTTTGGTGATTTCCTGTACGCATGCCCACTTTACCAGCTGGAGCTGGGACTTCGGGGCCACAGTCCAGCCAAAGGCCCCAACCCAAAGCCTTTTCTCTCAAGACCCCACCTACAGTCTGGGTGTGGTCTATCTCCAAGGTGAGAATTACATGGGGGGAGACCCTCTTCTGGGGCTGCTGACGAGTGGGTGTCCTGAGGAAGGTGGTAGGCGAGCCCGTGACTGTGTGCATGAATGTACGTGAATATGTGTGGTGGGGGGGGGGCTGGTCAGAGCAGAGGGAAGCAATGCCAAACCCCAACTTCCTAAGGCCAATTCTATCTTGCAAAGAGCTCTTTGAGAACAAAAAGTGAAAACAGTAGAGACAGAAGCCACCCACATGAGGACATGCACTTTGGGTACCCTCCAGGGCTGGTCCACTCGGGGCAGTGGTGGGCATCTCCGCTCTGCATAGCCCTGACTTCCCACCCTGTCGGCAGCACCACCAGCCAGCTGGGGCTCCCCCATCCCTTGCAGGTAAGACCCCTACAGATGGGACGTGGGAAGAACCAAGTGCAGTGCAGACAGCAGCCTCATTGGAACAATAGCCTGGTCTCCGTGCTAGGGAGCAGCGGGACCTTCCAGGAGGACCACAGGCTCTGGGAAGACAGTGGCTACTTGATGCTCAAAGACAGACAATGCTGTCCACCAGTACGGTAGCTGCTATGATGGTCCCTTCATATCAGAAGTTCCTGGAGCCTGAGCATGCACTCAGGGAGATGCTCTAAGATTAGGAAACTGGACTCTCACCAGCCTCCATGTCTGTGGCCCTGCTGTCCTGACTCAGGTGTCCCCAAATTTAAACATAGATATGCCCACCACTGCCCTTCCTCCCAGGCAGCTAGAAGTTTTCCAGATTAATTTAGAATGCAAGAGGCCACAGCCATTGATGTCCTGGGCTGAATGACAAGAGCGTGTTCCAAGGGCAGGCCCAGGGACCACGGCGATGCACAGGCACCTCCCTCCTCTCCATGAATTCCTCATGGTTCCCATTGGGAGTAAGCCTCCAAATGCCTTGGCCCTAACATCACTGGTCCATTCTCCAGTTACAGGCTCTGTGAGTGGAGGATGGGGTCACCTCCCCGCAGACCTTCTGGCACCTGCTGCACTAAAGGCACTCGCCCAGCTGTCGTGGGCAGGAAACCAGATCTCTCCAAAAAGCAAATGCCCATGCCATGCTCTGAGAGTTTAGAAAAGCACCCTCATGGGAATACAGTGGGTGACACCTTTGGCCAGTGGGGGCCCCTCTTGTTGGGCCACACTCCCCTTGGATTAAGGCATCCAATAATATGGGGACTTGCCTGGTTGAGGACAGTTTCCCTCTCAGCGAACAGGCCAGCCATAACCAAGTGGAATTTATCCTAGATATGTAAGGCTGGTTCAACATTCAAAAATCAATTAATGGAATCCATCTCGTCAACACACTAACTAAAAAGAATCACAAAATCATATTAATAGATGAAGAAAAAGCATTTGACAAAATCCAACACTCATTCCTGGTAAAAACTCTCAGTAAACTAGGAATAAGACAGAATTTCCTCCATCTGATGAA